CACACACACACACACACACACACACACACACACACACACACACACACACGTTTCTATCCTCATTGGGACTTTGCTTTGATTTCCATTCATTTACTGATCATATCCATAGCCTAACCCCTTACCCTAAACCTAACCTAAACTCCATTCACACCTCAGTCCTAACCTGAATCCCTGACCCACCAACTGTATTTCCCCCAATGGGAACCAGGCTTTTGTCCCGATAAGGAACAGTGGGTCCTCACCAGGCTGTGTGTGCCAGGAAAATTGTCAAAAATCATCCAAACCAGGTAACAAAAACATGCACACACACACACACACACAAAAAAAAAAAAAAAAAAAAAAAAACCTTACCTTTCTCTGGTCCTGGTCAAATTTCTGACAGTTTCGATGACATAAAGAAATGATGTTATTCAGCGAATAATTTACTCTTGTCAGCTTCACATCACTGTCTGTCTCCTCTTCATTCTGTCTATCCACTCCTCCTCCACTCTCAGCAGTGATGGCACACAGACTTTCCTTTAGTGTCTTCACAAAGAGAATAAGAAAATGTGACAAAAGCTACATAAAACACCAGCAGCTAAAACAATATATCAAAATATATCATAAATATAACTGTAGCTGTATCTCCTTGTTATTTATGTGTCAGTTTGGAAAACAGATTAATTATTAATAAACCCAGTAAAGACATTTAGGTACCTGGAGCAAGCCGGCAAATGCTCCATGAATGTCTCCCTTCTTCTCCAGCAGGTAGGCTGTAGCCTCGTTACAGTGGTATTTCTTCGTTATCTAAAGATTAAAAAACAGTAAATTATAAAAAGATCACACTTTACTACATATTAAAGCTGTTTAAGATGTTTACATCACAAGCACAAGGCAAAAAAATGAACTATAAAACTATAGAAACATGAGGCCCAACATCACGCAGCGATGAGCCTGAAACTCTTGGCCCAAATATAAAACAATTAATACTTGTATGGCTTCCTCAAGTCTGTAGTGTTGGGAGGTCTGGAGGAAGTTCAGGAGTTTTTCGGGGGCAAACTGGCACATTAGGTTGAGCAAAAGTTCATGAAGTTCAGACTGAACCAAGGTGGACCCTGAATGAGATCCTTCTCTGCAAAAGAAAGTCAAAAAAGAATGAGAGGGGCAAATAATACATGAGCAGGGAGGACAGAAGCTCCCCCGATTAAGAACTGTATAGAAGAGAGCAGGAGGCAAACCGTACCGTGGCTCCAAAAGACAGCTGAGGAATGTGAAAAGTAGTCGGTCATCCTGGAGAAACATAATAAATTCTTAAATTACACGTTCAACAGTAAACATGGCACCGCTGTTCTTATTCCACTCATTAAAAAGGACTGGCTTTAATGCTAATTAAATTACTACTTTAAAAATATATTGTTTCTATGTCTCATATAAATACAGATACTATGCATGTCCAGTTTAAAAGTGGTAAAGGTGATCTGAAAACATCACCTTGATCTCAGAGATTATTGGCTGCAGCTCGTCTGCGAAGTGCCACAGCACGAGGTCGGCTTGTTTGCTGGGGTCGAGGCTCACCAGCTCCTGGGAATACATTTTACACAATCATAAATGGACAAGATCAAACTGTAAAAAATGTATTAGATCGCTAAGTTTCATAGAACCATTAAAAATAGGATGAACTCTTATGCAGAAAATGAATGGGCCTCATGCAAGAACCGTTTGTACGCACAGATTTGTTATTAAGTTGTGCTTACGAGTGATTTAGGAGAACTTGTGGCATTCACCAATGTTTTCGTATTCTAAGATTTTTTTCAGATACGAACAAATTCACAAGTGGTCCAGACCTGTCATATATATATWTTACGAGCAGTCAGTCTGCTGTTATCCAGACGGGTTTTCTTCACTAATAACTTTATATTTCGTTAGTTTGAAGATATTTTGAGTTGAAAAGAAATTACACTCCATAATTATGTTGACAATAGGCTATTCTGCTTGAATTAGTTATAATTTTAAATGTAATAATTTAGACTAACAATATAAACTGTCCGTCCGTCCGGCTTAGCCGGGATCGGGTCGCAGGGCAGCAGCAGAGAGACCCAGACTTCCCTCTCCCCAGCGACACTTTCCAGCTCGTCCTGGGGGACTCCGAGACGTTCCCAGACCAGAGGGGATGCATAATCCCTCCAGCGACTCCTGGATTTTCTCCAAAGTGCCAGACATATTTTGAAAACATTTTAAAATGCTATTTGAAAATATTTCAGAACCGCAACTGAGACCACTTGCACGTATGGTGCGCGACGGTGTGGCTACTGAATAAATGAGAATGATTTWACACAGTTGTTTATACTTTTAGCAGCTCTTTTTATTCCACAGCTGACCTGCTAAAAATGACAGATTTTCTTTTCTGGATCTCTGACAGACGGACTTCAATCTCTGAGCTCGTAAAGTTTTTCTTTTTAATTATCGCTGTCATTTTCATGAATGGACACTTCCTTGTATCTGAAGCAGGAAACATAGCCTTATATGGTGTTTTTGGGGTGGTAATTATGCTAATCTCCTTTTACGTACACGAGGAGCTGGATATGAACAGGTGGAATTTACGCAGCTCATTTACACCCTTTTCCTGAAGATAGAAGAGTTTGTTGAATCTGACGTGGCGTGTTCGTACGAACCCTTTGTACGAACAAAAGTAAGAGAAATTTAGGAAAAGAATACGAACATGTTCTTGCATGAGGCCCAATGTTTCTCAGAGAAAAGGCAGAGTTGGTCTGAGAAATTTCCTTACTGTCCAACTTTTTAAGAACCATTCATCGATCCATTTTCTGCTGCTTATCTAGGACTGGGTAACAGAAGAAACAGTTCCAGAAGAAAAAACTAGATATTCTTTCCCCGGCGATGCTCTTCAGCTCTAYATAAAGTGTCCTGAAGAAGATATAGAAGCCCTTAAATGATTTCAGGATCCGCACTGAAGACTTTTTCCTGGAAAATCTCTGAGTAGTCATCCTAATCAGACACTTGAACCACATCAGCAGACATCTTTTGATGAGGAGAAGCAGCAGCTCTATTGAGCTCCTCCCCATATTATGAAGGATTAGCCCACCTGTCTTACAGAGGAAGCTCATTTCAGCCACTTGTATCCTGGATTTTATTTTTTCAGTTATGATCCAGACCTCATGACCACAGCTGAAGGTTGAAATGTAGACAAACCAGTAAATCAAAAGCTTTGCCTGATGACTCTGCTTCATCGCCATTATAGACCCAAGGTCCTGATCCACTGGTCAATCTCCTGCTTCATCCTGCCATCACTCGTGAACAAAACTCCTAAGCTTGAGTGAAAGACTCACTCCTGACCCAAAGAGAGCTTCCCACCTTATCAGGTTGAGCGAAACGGCCTAAATCTTGGCTGCTTCACACTTGGACATTTGTTTTAAGACACCATTATCTACAAAAAGCAAAGATGAGACCCCGAGGTTTGCAAACCAGGCACTGTACTTTCCACAACCACTCCTAAAGATCGTGTCCATGAACACCACAAACACGACTGGAGAAAGAAGACAGTCCTGACAGAATCCAACCTGCACCAAGAATGAGCTTAACTGTGAGATGAGAACGTGGACACAGATCTGGCTCTGTTTATACTAAGATAGCCCTTAAAGAACTCATGCTGTTTGTTATTTTTATGATGACACAGCTAAAATAAGCAACAAAAACAGTTTGCAGGTCTGTGTGCCAATGTACCAACCTGGATGTTTTGAAGTACTTTGTTTTTCACTTGTTGTTTCTCCTCACAGGTATAGCCGGGCATGGACATTAGATTGTGTATGTAGCTGAAAATTTCCAACTGACACAAACACACAGAAAATGCTACCACTTGCTTTATTCAAATAGGAAAATATGATACCAAAAATATACATTTGCTTTTAGAATATTTTCACCAAATTTTCTAGTAAATACAAACAACACAATACCTTTCGGAGGGAATCTCTTAAGTAGCAGTCGATGATCCGGTCATACATGTGTTTCTTTTCATAAAGAAATTCACAGATTTGGTAGCTGCAGAGTGAGACGAGAACAAAAGACGTGAAGACTGACAATACAATGCAGTAAAATAACAACAGTAGTTTGTGATTTATAGAATGCTATGATATATTTTGTTGTTTGTTTGTTCTCTTAAGTGCTAGCTCAAAAACTCAAGTTTATTTTTTTAAGTTTCTTTTTAAATTCACTTGCATTGACTCCTGTTTCTGACTTTATTTTTTATGTAGCTTTCCTATGTTGAAGTCATGTTGTAACTGGAACTGGATTTTGTCTTTCTGTCAGAAAGACAGCAGGCAGTTTAGGCTGATAGTAACATCATGTCATCATGTCACACTCTACCATACGGAGCACAGGGGTCCCTCAGGGATGTGTGCTTGGTCCTTTGCTCTTCATCCTGCTGACATGTGACTGAGGTGAAGGTTAAAAATTGCTATCTTTAGTTTATGACTCACTAGTTGGCTTTCTCTGCTAAAGTAAAGAGCCTTTCTTCATTAAACTGGACCACACCTCCGACCTGCAGCAGTTCCAGTAAAACCTACAAAACCATTAAGGCAAGGAAAATAAACATTACTTTATAATTTTTAAACTGTGATACATGCTTCTAGAAGAAGAATTCTATCTGCATTTGTACCTGCTGCCTTTCAGTGTGCCGAGAATCATCATCTGGACAACATAGGAACTCTAGCACCTGAAGAGACAAAGCAAAGGTCATTTTAACACCAAACTAAAGCAAAAAGATAAATAAATACACAAAGAGAAAATACATTTACAATTGTGCCTGTCTTGTGCAACATTAAAAATGACGGCAGATGATTTATTATCACACAGTTGATAATGTTAGCAGCACTGTACCTGATCAAACAGATTCCTGTTCACAAAAAGTGTGTTGTTTGGCTTAGCCAACTGGCGGGCCAGAAAGGTGAAGAGACCGCCCACTTGGGACGGAGTGAAATCTGGGTTATCCACCATTATCTTTATCCAAAGAAATAATAACAAAGATAATAAAAATAATAAATAAATAAAAACAAAGGAAACAGATAATACTATAACCATGTCTTTTTAATACATTTTACATCTGTCTGTTCCCTGTAGGAGCCTTCAAAGTGGAACAGCTGCCTCCATCTCAGCCTATCCCAGCATCCACTTCTGTCACACCAGTTGTCTGAATATTCTCTTTCACTACACTCACAAACCTTCTCTATAGTCTTCCTCCTTTCCTCCTCACTGGCAGCTCCATGTTCAACATCCTTTGTCCAATATCTCTACCATCTCTTCTTGCCCCCAGTTGCTCTTCACCTCTCTTGCGAAATCCCTGTTGATTTGGATGGTTGACCCCAGGTACTTAAACTCATCCAACCTCTACATGTTGAAGCTTCACTGTAACACCTGTCTCCACACATGAATGGATGTTGTCTTTTCTCTACTATCTATTCCTCTTCTTTCCAGAGGAAACCTCCATCTCTAAAGATTTCTTTCCACCTGTGTTCTACTCTCACTACGGATCACAAGTAGTTAATATGCTGCTATAACATTTATGTAATATTGACAAAGTCGGTTTCAAAAACAGCATTTTGTGAAATTACCTGGAGTAAGATGTCTACTATTCTCTGCTGGTATTCAAGAGCCTGCTTGTCATTCTGGAAGTCATCAAATGTCTGCAATAAAGTGAGACTCAAGCCTTAGCTGACAGACGATAAACAGATAACAATAAAATCAGTAGAGCCATACATGTTTGATATTGAGTGAAATCATAAAAAGGAAAAAAAGRTATTCATACAAGGTACAGGCAAGAAAAGTATTACCGTACATTCTTTAAGCCTCTGAGGCAAATGTTTAATAAAACAACAAGAGCAAGATTATGAAAAAACTCACCATGGCGAGTACATTCAGAAATTCCCGTGTGTCAAAATGAAGGAGCGTTTGAATAAATGGGAAAACGTCTTCATGTGAGGCGTTGCCTGAATGGAGACGAATCAGGAACTCAAACACCTAATCCAAACAAAGAAAGAAGCTTTTATATAGAAAACCTTGTTTTATAATTATATGACTGGAGCCACAACTGTGATAAATTAGTGATGTTATTGGTCTCCTGACAAACACTGAACACAGGTGTACCACAAGGCTGTGTAATTGAGCTCCAGCCTTATTACCTGATGCTTGACTTGAACCACTAGATCTTCAGGGATGTCTCCCAGTGGATATGCCCTTCCAGCAAGACAGCAGCTACAACCAAAAGAAAACACATGCAGGCATATCAGAGCACAACACAAATCACTACCCCCCCCCCCACCCCAAAGTTTAAACACCCATTAAAACCTGTACAGACATCTAGCACAAAAATGTCTCATCACTCACAATTTATTGCACTATGTGAACTCCTAAGTGAAACATGAACCATTTTACAGATAGTTACCTAAAGCAACTCTGAAATAAAGTGATTGAGTAAGCAGTAAATCCATATTAGTCTGATTTACCTTACCTTATATAAACCAGAAGTTTGTTCCCCATCACCACATCCTCATCTAAAGAAATGTAAAAAAACAATGTTAAATTTAAAATTTTTACTTTCCTCTGAAATATTTTTGATTGTCAAGAAAGAGAAATTAAAAGGATCTTATTCTACTCACCTGTTAGGCTTCTCCCCTCTCTAACTCTTGGACCAATCACTGAAAAGAGTTTCTGAAACATGAAGTAGACTATTACTGTATACTTCCTGGTTTCTCACATTTTCCTTAGAATAATTTTGATAATTTACCAAAACGAATTAACTTTCTGGTACAGAACCTACCTCCATTGGTGTAATGTAATCATTCATGCCTCTGTTGAAGATGTAAATCACTGCATCATAGAGCTGGTTGTTCCAACATACTTGAACCACCTTGACACATACAAAGAAATTTTCAGTGACATAAATAATCAGAAAAATCAAAAAATTGCAATCATATGAGCAATTAGCCTTGATCCTAATGGTTTTTTACATTAAATCAATAAGCAAAAAAAGGTCCAAAGAAGATTTATGTTTCTATTAATTCATAGACAAAAAAGGGGAAAAAGTTTAATTAAATCTCTTTATCATGTATATAGATACTCTTTGCATCGCTGTTGTTGGTTTATTCACAGGTCTCAAATACAAGCATTCACCTGTTGCATATCCAGATTGGTAACATCTAAATGAACAATGCATCTCTCTAAGCTGTCCATCATCCCACTGTCATGGTAATGGGCCAGGAGGTCCTTCATTATGGGTGTGGTCAGGTGACAGAGGCGGTTGGCGACAATGTATGACTCCAGAGACTCCAGAAAAACGCCCTTAGCAATCATGTTCTCCACCAGCCGTGGATAGAGCTGGTTGAACAGCAGGTCACTGTTCCAGAAAACACAAATTACCTTCAACATCTTGAACTTTTTCCAATCTAAAAGACAACTTTAAGGTGGATCTTGAAGGTAAATAACACTTTTTAAAAAATCTGGACTTCAGTGTTTTAGTCAGATTGTTGGATTAAATTTCCAGTCCTAAAAACTGAAAGACAATGTTCATTTCAGGCTTTTTAAACAGGAGAAAAGCTGCTAAAATCTGCTAGTGAATCCAAACAGAAAATCAGTCATCTACATGGGGTCTGTTATCTTGCAAAGTGCACATCCAGACCAGTCCAACAGGATGTGATGGACAGTCAGCATCTCACCATGTCAAAGAGCTCTTTGACTTTTGTTTGTGTGTTTTAGGTGTATGATTGAATACAGTCTACTTACGCCTTCTGTAGCAGCAGGCAGTAATCCACCAATACTGGAATCACCTCCTGAGAAAACCACAAAAATTAGGAAAGAAATTAAATTGTGGACAACATCAGGTAGGTGGAATTATCATTTCTTGCCAGACAGTTTTACCTAAAACATTTTACACATGTTTATGAATGAAAAAAGACAGATACAGTAGTAAGAAAAAGAAAGTGCACACTTTTTCAACTTTAGGGTTTTATGCATCAGAGGGTCATGATAAAAAAAATTAGTTATTACCAAGGTAACACACACCTCTCACATGGAGAAATTTTGGCCTTTTTTATCACTTTGTTTCTACAAAGACTAGAACAAAGGTCTCCAAAATGTTTAGAAATGATCTTTAATCTTTCTCAGATTAATTATTAGTTATTCAGATTAAGTAATTCTTCCTACACCTGGCTACCCCCAACCCAGAGAGAGCAATCCACTCTTTTCAGACTGAGGACCATGGACTGCGGATCCTCATCCCAGCCGCTTCGCACTCGGCTGTAAATCGCTCCGTTGAGCTGAAGATCACGGCTGCCCTGAGAAATTCTATCCATAAAAGTTAGGAACAGAATCGATGACAACAGGCAGCCCTGGCTGAGTCCAACTCCCACCTTGAAGGGGCCCAACTTACTGCCAGCAATGCGAACCAAACTCTTTCACCGCTTGTATAAGGACTGAATGTCCCGTAACAACGGACCCACAATCCCCCCACAGTTTACCTCGAGGAACATGGTTGAATGCCTTCTCCAAGTCCACAAAACACATGTAGACTGGATGGACAAACTCCCATGACCCCTCGAGGACCCTAGTGAGGGTAAAGAGTTGGTCCAGTGTTCCACAGCCAGGATGGAACCCGCGTTCTTCCTCCTGAATCTGAGGTTCGACCAACGATTGGACTCTCCTCCACCGAGGAGGCTAAGGAGAGTGATGCCCCTATAATTGGAACAAACCCTACAGTTACCCTTTTTGAAGAGGGGAACCACCACCCCAGTCTGCCAATCCAGTGGCACTGCCACTGACGTCCACGTAATGTTGCAAAAGTCAATAAAGACACGAAATCCAGAGTCTTAAGGAAATCAGGGTGGATCTCTTCCACCCTGCCGTGGAGCCTTTAAACTGCCTCAGCGTCTTCAGCCCCAGTTATGGGCCATGGCTGCTGTATTTCCTTCAAAATCCTCTGGAAGCATCAAAGATGGACTTTTCACACATAGCTTTTCCACTGTGGATTCAATTGTGTTCAATAAATAATGGTAAACGGACAGTACATACATAGTGCCTTTCTATCTAACCAGGATACACAAAACGCTTCACACTGCAATCTGTGTCCTCATTTACCCATTCACACGGCAATTATTATCATGTTCAAATCGATCTATAGAGACTAATCAGTGCTTCAACTGAGGCAGTTGGGGTTCAGTGTATTGCCCAGAGACACTTCGACATATGAATGACTAGTGGGGAATCGAACCGCCAACTCTCTGGTTAGAGGACCCCCCCCCCCCAACCCACTCAGCCACAGCCACCCACAAATAATGACACTGTGGAACTTGTTGCAGGTTTTTGTACACTTGTTGTTGGATAATAATAATTTTAGAACCTGGTAAGATCAGGGGTCGGATTTATAAAACTGGCGTACGCACAATATGAGCCCAGAAACTTGTGTACGCCACTTTTTACACCAAGGTTGTGATTTATAAAATCCAAACTTGACGTGAAAATGTGCGGTGCCTCACGCCAGCTCTGACCCATGTGTACGCTCATTTTGGAGACGGGAAACTGCGACACAGATGGTGAAGTGAGGAATTAGAGCCACACTGTGTAATGATCACTGTCAGATATTTAATTTACCTTCAGAATCAGACTTGGATTTTTTTTCCAACTTTAACATCAGTTTTCTTATCAGTATTATTTATGCTTCTGCTGCTGAGCCATGAGGACCTTTCAAATAAAAAAAGACTTAAATCTTAAATAAAAGTTCCCGTGTGCAACTCCCTTCATCTGCATCCTCCTCAGACGACCCTGACCCACAGACCCCTCCCCGACAAGAACAGCAGGACAGCAAAAGTCACGCTTTGGATACACGCGCAGGGTGCATCCACCTCGCCAGTGTGAATGTTATAAAACTTCACGTTTAAAGTCATTTAAAGTCCGTATTTGTAACCATGCGCGCGAGGGATGGGGGGTGCGTGCGTGTGTGTGTGCGCGCGCGGGGCGGGGGTGTCTGCCGCGAATAACAGAGCAGGCATGAGGGGGAGAGGATGAGGAGAAGAGCAGTGGACTTAATTCTAATTCTAATTTTATCTGACTTATATAATTTAATTTTTATTGTTTTTATCGTCCTGCAGGCTCTGAGGGACAATTAATTTGAAGCTGAGATTTGTTTTTTATAAAAATTGTTAGATTACTCTAAAGCAAATTGAGGGAAAATCTGTGTCAATTACAGATAATCTGTTCACGTGAGCAGCTGTCAGTCAGCACCTGTCATCCTCCAGACGCACGATGGAGCGTGTCCGAACCAATCATTTTTGTAGATATTGATCAGCTGACTGATTTAAATACACCTTAACATTCATGAGGTACTTTGCATTGACTGTTTATGGTTGAGTGTGGGCGTGTAGAGGGTAGAACCTGAGGCGGGACCTCGTGCGCAAACTCTGACGTGCGGCTGTGATTTATAAATGAAAGATGCGCAGAAACGTGCGTACGCACGGTTTTATAAATCTGATTTTTTTTTGGCGTACGCCATTTCCRCCTTTTGGCGGTAYGTTCACTTTTAGTATGGTTTCCACGCAATCCTTTATAAATGAGACCCCAGGTCATTTTTATTATGTCCGAATATTTAAATCATTAAAGACATGAAAGAGGATGCACTTCCTTTTTCCCACGACTGTCTCTGACCATTACCGGTGGCTGTCAGTCTATTTTGTTTCAACTGAGTACTGAGACAACATGTTTCCTCAAAAGGGAAGCAGGAGCAGTCTTTAAATGAGGACATGCAGCACAGGGCCTGCTGTTTAAACACGGTGCAAAGACTGTTTACTCAACACACTGAGAATGGTCTTCTCTACAGTTTTACTCATGTTGATGCAAATTCTCACAATCCGCAATCTGCAATTAATCATCTCAATAGWTAGAATTAGTTATCCAATGTGGGTACTTGAGAACAAATATTCACATCTTTTTGCGTAAAACTTTGATTCCAGCTTGTATCTGGTAATCTCAATATTCAGTATAAATATGAACACACGCTTGTGAGAAAGATGAGGTCTGACAGAGTGAAGAATTTCCTCCCTAAATCATTTTTTTCCTTACTGCATTAGTGCAACTAATAGTTGCTTACCTAACATTTTAAAGATGAGTTTCTCACAGCACATTAAAATTACCTGGAAATGCTGCTCCATCACTTGGATCTTGCCGTGTTCTGGACATTTTTTCAAAGCGCACTCTGCAAACTGGAGAAGAATCTCGACCATCTGTGAACACAAAGTTTTCTTCAAGTTCGAACCTACAGAAATGTCTAACAAAGTGGATGCATCCATTAAAAAAGCAAAACAAAACTCCTTTAACCTTGTCACTGATAACAGCTTTCCTTTTCTGTGAATCTCCATGAAGACCTCGAACAAACACAAATAAAAGTAATGTTATTAGCTGATCAGAAAAGTTTCCTTTTTCAAGATGTGAGGGAAACGCTTGATATAACATTAMAATTCCCTTCCCTCTCACTTTGCTAGCATGCATCATGAGACTGATTTCAGGCTGCTGATGTGGGATGCACATTTTACCCACCAACCACGGCCTTAGCACTTCCTTCATGAAACAACCAGGCCAAACTGAGAGCCTCGACAAAATCCTCCAGTTTCAGCAAACAGTCAATGCGCTGGACACAGGAAAAAAAATGTTAATTAACTTTTAATTTTATTTAGTTTCCAGTATTAATCTAATTCAACTATTTCCACATTCATCCATTCAGCACTTTCTATTCTACAATATATTGTTAAAATCCACCTTTAAAAAATACATTAGTGGATTTCAACATGAAGATCAGACAGACAACTTCTCATTTATAGAAGAGATTTAAACCTGGACCTCCTCATCTTTAGATTTGTTTGATTCTGGTTTCCATCACTTTTATTCTTTCTTAAAAAAAATTTCCCTTGAAGTTATTGCAGAGTTCTGACTGCCATTGATGTGACTTAAAGTGACCGACAATGATATTTACCTCTTTCCAGTTCCTTAGTGACATGATGTGAGCCGACTGCAAACAAAATAAAACCAAACTGTTTTAAAACAAAATACAGAATTCCCGTTAACTCTCAACTATCACATTCGTAGTGTCCAATATTATTACAGCAATAAAAAAATACCAATATTTATAAGTAGGACACAACAGCTAGTTAAAAAAAGAGATTTGTTGTTTATTTTCCCTCTAAAAGATTAATTTAGCTTGAGGTTTTTTGTGAAGCAATAACTTTTAAAAATCACAATCAGCCCTGACCCTCATCTCCATCCATTACACCCTGCTTGCTCTTTTCACTGCTCTCGTGCATCTGTTGCTTCCTCCTGCTTCTACTGACTTTCATTTCTCTTTTTTCCAGTGCTTACTTCCACCTCCCCAGGCTCTCTTCCACCTGCTCTCTACTCTCACTGCAGATCACAATGTCGTCTAAACATCATAGTCCATGKGGACTCCAGCCTGACCACATCTGTTAACCTGTTCAACGCTTCTGCAAATACTGAACACATCTGTCACACCCACTACACATCTCACCACTGTCCCACTGTCCATGTCCTGCATTAACCTCTCAGAATTCTTCGCCACACCTGACTTCCTCTTACAGTACCACAGTTCCTCTCTTAGTACCCTCTTTTGCTTTCTGTAAATTCACAAAGCCATAAGCAATTGAAGACAAAAACATTAAAATACTCAGATTATAAATTAATCATCTCCATATTTATGTGTAAAAAAATCCCTTTGTGTAGTTCCTTTTCAGTCATTTCACTCAGTACAAAACACAGWTGTATATGGGACACGCGCGCCTGGCTGAAGCCACCTCTAATCACGTCTCTAGACCGGTGATGTGGTGACGTTGAATGTCGGGTGACAGGCTCCGCCTTCACACTATAAGTTAGGAGTCACCAGCGTCATTACTCAGTTCTATCGCCCTTCACCTCGCGATTGTCACCTCTAAACCTGAGCTCACATAGCTGCTGCTAGTTAGCTCAGCTTCAAAGGTTCTTAGGCTAGCTTTACTGGTGCTAACCGCGTTACCTGCTGGTTCGTGTGTCTGCCGCTCGACGCTACTTAAGTGACCTTTATTTTCTGCTGAAAATCTGTTTTGTTGTTCACGATGAGCACAAAACCACCTTCGAAGAAGCCGAAGTCTTCTGTTCGCCCCTGTCCTCAGGGGTACGGCTTTAAGCTTCATGAGAAGGACCAGCATGAGGCCTGCCCAGCCTGCCTAGGAATCATTCACACTCGACGGGCGCTTGTGGAGCCCGAATCCTGCCGGGCCTGTGCTGGACTTTCACGTCCGACACTGGAGAGGAGAGTAAAAATGGTGAAAATGCTAGGGGAAACTGCTGTTTTATGACAAGACCCGCTGCTCTCCGAATCCAGCCAGACGGCTCAGTCCGACGAAGACGAAGTCCGGTCGAAGCCCCTGCTGCTAGCTGGGCAGACCAGATGGAGCACGAGGCGGCCTCACCCGACATCGAGGGGGGCGAGACCCAGTTTCTACTGGATCTAAACCGAGAGGGTGGACCAGGATTCGTCCTTCTTGTCCCTGTGCCGCCGAGCTGCTGCTAAACTGGAGGTACAGTGGCCCGAACCCCCACCTGCTCAAAAGCCATCGAGGTTCGCAGAGTTTTTATCTCCCGTCTGAACCGGCTGATGTGAAGCACCGTCTGCCTATRTTTCCGGACTTTGTGTCAGAGCTGACGTCTTCCTGGAGCAAACCGCTGTCCATCCGCGCCTTCGTACCCGGACAGGGTCAGTACTTGGACGTGGAAGGGGCAGACCAAGCAGGCCTGGTGTGCATCCCTCCAATGGAGCCTTCTTTAGCCGCTTATTTAGCTCCGTCTCACAACCAGGGTGTGAGCGGGCCCACCCTGCTCCTTTCCAAGCCCTGCAGATTCTCTTCGGCACGGCTGGAGAAAATCTACAAAGCCCAAGGTAACACCGCCCGTGCGCTGAGCTCCGTCACCATGCTTCAGGCCTACCAGGCCTACCAGGCCATGGCCTTGGCTGAACTGGCAGCTCAGATGCCRCAGGAAAAYCCCCTTTTACCCCTGCTGAACGAGAACAGACTGGCGTCAGACCACATCCTGCGTGTGTCCCGCTGTGCAGCGCTGGCTCTGGGGAAAGGAATGGCTTCTTACTGTGGTGGCGCAGAGGCACCTGTGGCTAACACTCTCAGACGTTCCCGACAAGGACAGAGCGGCCYACTTGGATGMACCRAWAACGCCTACAGGACTGTTTGGTCAAGCGCTTGACGTCATCCAAACCAAATTTGAACAGAGGAAGAAGCGAGCTGAGGCACTTCGCTGCATCATCCCCAGACGCGACGCGAGGCCCAAGGCCCCGAGCACATCCAGGTCTGTGTCTCATCCTCCTCCGTTCAAGAAGGTGGCGACGCCCGGGACATCAAAGGCCCAGCCCGCCGAACCTTCCAGCAAGCCGCAGCCTCCCCGTCAATCGGCATGGAGCAAAGGCCCCACTCCGCCGAGTCAGCAGGACAGTTCAACGGCTCGGAAAAAGAAGTCAAAGTCCTCCTAACAGCAGGACTGTCTTCACAGGGACTTCAAAAACAGAGAGACAATGTTCAGCTGCAGTTGAAAAGACATTTAAATGTTTGTGTTTCAGAAACCGGCCCCAAGAGGCATCGGGTCTCCTCTGTTAGTGTCCCGAAAAATAAACAAAAAAACATGTAGCCCCCTCCTTGGGTGCAAATTGTGTTTTAAAATGCAAAACTTTAATAAAYAGTTCTGCAAATGTTTTCAATGTGTCATTAAAGAATTATCTTTGTGCACAAACGAACACAATAAGCTGCGGGCGACAGTCAATAATATTGTCCCTTCCCCATCCAGTGGAGGGCAGCAGCAACACATCTCCAACAGTAAGGCAAGTCAGTCACTTAGCAACGCGACTCCCTCTCTGGGGCGCATGTGCACCCTCTCCATGGGTACAAAGAACTGTAGCTATGGGTTACAGGCTGCAGTTCCGCATCAGGCCGCCTCGCTTTCGGGCCATTGTAAACACAGTGGTGACAAACGAGGCAGTCGCCATTTTAAGAGAGGAAATTTGCACATTGCTAACAAAGAGAGCTATTCGAGTGGTTCCATCTGCATAAACACAAAAAAGTCTGTACAGCCATTATTTTCTTGTTCCGAAGAAAGGGGGCAGCCTGCGGCCTATGAGAGTGTTAAACCGGTACCTTCAAACATACAGGTTCAAAATGTTAACGCTCAAACAGCTAATTCACTCTATCAGCCTGGGCGATTAGTTTGCGAACATCGATCTAACAGACGCCTATTTTCACATAGCGATTCACCCGGAGCACAGAAAATATCTCAGGTTTGCCTTCGAGGGTGTAGCCTACGAGTATCTGGTGCTACCGTTCGGTCTATCGCTAGCTCCTCGCACCTTTTCAAAAGTGCGTAGAAGCTGCGTTGACTCCCCTCAGGGAAAGTGGAGGTCCGTCTGTTAGCATATTTAGACGACTGGGCTCTGATCGCAAGCTCCAAGGAGCAAACATTAGATCAGCTGTCTCAGGTTCTGTCACACATTCAGGCTTTAGGGTTTTTAGTAAACACTCAGAAAAGTCTATTAACACCAAGTCAGCAGTTTTCGTTCCTCGGACTAGAAATCTGCGCCTTGTCAAGCAGGGCTCGCCTCTCAGAAAACAGAGCCGCGTTTCACCGCTGCTTAGCTCAGTTTCAACTGGGACGCAAACTGAGCTTCAAAACCGTACTACAGTTACTGGGAATGATGGCTTCCATGATTTCAGTAGTACCACTCGGGCTGTTAAAAATGCGCCATTTTCAGYGTTGGTCTCAGTCCCACAGACTGTGCCCATCTCAACACAGACACAAAAAGCTAACAATAACTGCTTCCTGCATGACAGCTCTCAGCCCCTGGAGGGAACCCGGCCTCCTGTATCAGGGT